TTGCATCGGCCCATAAATGAGCCTTCCCCCATATAAGGTCCCCCTCTGCAAATAACTACATGTTCATTATTGGCTTAAAAATATGAATGTGACGAAAATTGACGCACATAAGTTTAATGCGTGCCAATATCTCTCCACCAAATTTAGGGAGGATCGGTCCATAATTTAATTTTCAGAAAATTACTTAAACGATCATTACTGGCTTAAAAATATGAGTTATGAAATACGGTTATGAAATTCGCTCCGAATTTCATGTGGAATGTGTTGGTAATACACAAAAGGTTCCCTTCAGGAAAGAGTCTTGGTTAATAACTACGAGTGTTCCTTATTTAAAATATACATAATCTATGTACAAAATTTTATGAGTATCGGTTCATAATTGACGCTCACGGTTTAAGAATTGAAATAAAATATTTGTTTTTTTAATTAATATTTTGGTAGTTCAAAAGAGCTCTGGCCATAATTGACTTAAGCTATATTCCAAATATCACGCTGATGTTTATAGGGGAGCATTCCTTTTACAGCATACGGTTTGATAGTGGGTATATGAGATTCGGCACAGCCGAATATAGCACTCTTACTTGTTTAATTAATATTTTGGTAGTTCAAAAGAGCTCTGGCCATAATTGACTTAAGCTATATTCCAAATATCACGCTGATGTTTATAGGGGAGCATTCCTTTTACAGCATACGGTTTGATGGAGGGTATATGAGATTCGGCACAGCCGAATATAGCACTCTTACTTGTTTTAATTATATTATGGTCATATTTTGAGTCGATCTAACATAGATACTTACATACAGTGTCTCTCATAATTATTCGAATTTGGGTAAACTATAAAAAGAAACCAAATTTAATAATATATTTTGTGTGCAAAATAAATAAATTAATTTGTTATATTGTCTAGATAGTCCTTATGTTTGATATCACGCTTTTTAAAACTTGAAAAATTTGCATTGACTTAAATTAATTGTGCTTTTTTAAAAAAAGTCCGTAAATTTGCCTCACAAAAGTATACGAATTTTTCCGGTATTTATATTTGATCATATTATACGCAACACAAATTTTAGAATCGAATGGTTTTTATGCGTAATATTGTTTTAAGGGGTTACTATCCACGGTAAGGATATATTTTTGGCCCATTTGGTCCACAATTTTGGGGAATTTGTACCCTGTTTTCATGTAATATCATTAAAATGGCGATTTTTGGCCATAATTGTAAATTTTTCTCCTTTTTTCCAGAGATAAAACAAAAATTTGATATTGGGACTTAAAAGACTCCTTGGGGTATCTAAAAATAATATTTTTTGTTACAAGAATCTGTATTTAAACGTTCCAAGATAAATTATTCGGATCATTCTTCTGTCGCTAATTCAATATATTGGAACTTAAGTCCATTTTTATAATACTAGGATCAACTATTTTCGGGGAAAGTTTTCTGGTATATATTCTTTTAGATATCAGCTTTTATACATTTTAAGTTTTCAATGTGTTGTGGAAGTGTACAACTCCAAAACATGCCTCGAATAAGCACCATTCAAAACAGTAAAATCATTATTTTTATATACCAATGTCCTCCATGCTGCATGGCGCGATATCATTATGATCACATCAAAAATGTTGATATGTGTTTAAATATTATTTACTATGATCAAATTAAAACCAAAATTTAGGACTTACAGTGTTATTGTAACGGGCAACATAAGCGTGAAAGTTACGAGTAGTAAAAACTGAAATCTACTATATAGGATGACGTTTTGTTAAGGCATGTTTTGGGGTTGTATACCGCTATAATATATTGAAAATTTAAAATACATTAGTGCCAATATGTGCATGAATATACACTAGACAACTTTGTCGGAAAATATCGTCCCTAGAGGTACGAAAAGGGTCTTACGATCCAGATAATTCAATTAGAAACTGAAAAACGATACCAAAAATACATCTTGGAACGTTGAAGTACAGATCCTTATAACAAAAAATATTATTTTTAGATACCCTATGGGTTCTATTAAATTCCAATATTAAATTTTGGTTTTATCTCTGGAAAAAGGGTGAAAACATACAAATATAGCCAAAAATCGCCATTTTAATGATATTACATGAAAAGAGGGTACAAATCCCCCAAAATTGTGGACCAAATGGGTCAAAAATATATCCATGCGGTTGATAGTATGATCAAATATGAAATACAGGAAAAATTCGCATACTTTTGTGAAGTAGTTTCATGGACTTTTTTTAAAAAAAGCACAACTAATTTAAGTAAATGTAAAGTTTTCAAGTTTTAAGGGGCGTGATATCAAAACTAAGGACTATCTAGACAATATAACAAATTAATTTATTTATTTTCCACACAAAATATATTATTAAATTTGTTTTCTTTTCATAGTTTACCTAAATTCGAATACTTATGAGAGACACTGTACATGTATTATAAATGATTTACTTGCAGTGTTTACATATAAAGTTAATACATATTTTTATTATAAAATTTATTTTTTAGTTGTACCAGGCACCAAGTTATCCGACCATATAATAATTGGAACTCCTGGAAAAGTTCTTGACTGGGGTCTTAAATATCGTGTCATCGACTTGAAGAAAATTCGAGTTTTCGTGTTAGATGAAGCCGACGTAATGATTGCCACTCAGGGTCATCACGATCAATGTATTCGCATTCATAAGTAAGTTATATTATTTTTTTCAATGTTATAATTAACAAATTATTACTAATAATTTCAGACAATTATCGCCAAAGTGTCAGATGTTATTCTTTTCAGCTACATATGATAAAGAAGTGATGGAGTTTGCAGAGCATATTGTGCCTGAAGCAAATATAATTAGGTAAGTAATGACATTAAATTATTTATTTTATTTTTTAAATCATCTAATATAAAAGTTTCAACTTAATACATCTGATTGTTTGGATTTGCAATAGCTTTAAATACTGCAATGCTTCAGCATAGCACACTAATCAAAAATGCATATCAGATGCAAATAAATTGAATAAAACTTTAAAGTCTAAAGGTTTTTCTGTATAGCATCTTAATGCTCAAATTAACATTGAAAGTTTTTGAAAAATTGAGTCCTTTAGCTATGCCTACCATTAACATTATGAATTATATGACGAAATCTTCGACTGGTTCAAACTTTGGCTCATTTCATACTCTGATTTGTCTGAAATATTTGTCGCATCTCATTTTGTGTTCTTATAATTTTAGACTTAAACGGGAACAAGAATCACTTGACAACATTAAGCAATATTATGTAAGATGTCGTTCGGAAGATGAAAAGTATCAGGCAATTCAGAACATATATGGCAGTATTACTATTGGACAAGCCATCATTTTCTGTCATGTAAGTATTCTTAATTAAATAATGATTTCTCATGTAAGTGAAATGTATGTATATATGAGCAATTCATATTGCAGATTTTCATAACGACAAAGTTTAAGTTCAGCAAATCACTTAAAATGCATAATAAACTTATGAACAGTAGTATTATGATAAATGGTCATAAATTAGTTTTACATATATGAACAAAAATTCAACCTCCGAATTTTATGAGGATCGGTCCATATTTGACCATATAACACTATTTTATTTTCATCTATAAATTGCTTAAACATGCATATACAGTGGTAGCCATTTGTTTAGCACACTTTTAGGTCAACTAGTCCACATACAACTGGACATACTGAATATCACTTTAGAACTCATAATTATGTTTATGCAAAAATCAGTAGATCTAAAATTTGTATAAGCATAAGTCGACCTCATTTGATCCCAGTCCACAACATTTACCAATGGACATTTTAAAAATAAATTTAAAAAATTGAATTTATCTATTAATTTTAGACCCGAAAAACAGCTGGTTGGTTAGCTGGAAAATTGTCATCCGATGGCCATTCCGTTGCTGTTCTATCCGGCGATCTAACTGTTGAACAAAGGTTAGCTGTTTTGGATCGTTTTAGAATTGGACTAGAAAAAGTACTGATAACAACAAACGTATTGTCCAGAGGTAACGAAAACACGTTCCTTATTATAATTACAATTCGAAATTAAGTTTTTTTATTCTAATTTAAAGGAATCGATGTCGAACAAGTTACAATTGTCGTAAACTTTGACTTACCAATGGACGCCAAGGGCAATGCCGATTGTGAAACTTATTTACATCGCATCGGAAGGACCGGAAGATTTGGTAATAATATGGTGACACATTTAAAATTATTTTTGCTAATTTACTTCCATTACAGGTAAAAATGGCATTGCAATTAATCTAGTAGATAGCGAAAAAGCCATGGCCATCTGTCGCACCATTGAGAATCATTTTAAGAAAAATATTAAGGAGCTCAATGCAGACAACACCGAAGAAATTGAAAAAATCGGAACTTAATCTCATTTATAAGTTTGATTTGATATAATAATACGTACATGTGTGTTTATTGATTAAATATTTTTATTTTTTATATCTTCAATCATAAATACCGAATATAACTTTCGTTAATGTTATGAAAATTGCTTTTTTACATTCCTCTCATTATTTTTATTTATAGTTTATATAAAAGTAAATTAAAATAAAACAGAACTACTATACATTATAAATATTTATTTTAACATCATCCGATTAGTACGTCACACTGAATTCGGTAGTTGACAAGCACGTACCGCAACCAACTGAAGCAAAACAAATATGGGTGAAAATACTTCGCTATATTCCAAATTTGTTTGACCACTAAGTTTAAGACAAAGCAAATATTTGAATATTGCGACAAGAAACAAAAAGTAGGTGCTCCACATAAAACGATGCAAAGCTTTGCGCTTATTATCTGAGTCCAAGTACATTCTAATTCCAACAATTATGCAAAAATATGCATTGCAGATGTCAATGCAAAAAAGTGGACTAAAAATCGTAAACCAATCCACAGAGTTTTTCACAATTGTTCCAGATATCCGAAAAGCAAGCGTTATTGTGAAGACGAGAAGACCGCATAAATTTATCATTATTTCAAATTCGGTAAGTCCGAGCCAGCGTACCAGTTCCGACAACTTAAACATTTTGTATTATTATGTATCGATTAAATTGAAAAGGCAACATCAACGTCATACACTGAATTTCGAACAATTTTAATATGGACAGCTGAATTATTTCTCCGCTGAATAGAAATATCATCGGCATCACTTAATGGATGATATTCATCTAGAAAAAGAAACGATTAATAATATTAAAATAGGAAATCAACAATGGGACAATAATATATTATGGAAAAAATAAGATCTGCTTGCAAATGCCAGTTCGTAAACGCATCACTGCACTGTTCTGATACGCAGTGTATTCGAAAATGCATCACATAAATAAATAGCTAAATGTGTAAATGAGTATTTATATTGTAACTAATTTTTTGAAACTTTTTAAAATTAAAGTTTTTTGTTTATACATAAAATTCGCATCAGCATCGCAAACTAATCATCACAAGCAGCACCGTGAGGCATTTCCAAACTGGACCAACAATTTGGATTAATAACTTTGGAAGTAAAACAAATTCTAAACTTTGATGACTGTTGCAAATCTGGCCATGGTTTTCATTTAAAATATCTGTCAGTTTCACAAAAGAATGTTAAGGTTTATGTATATTATGTACCAAAGTTTAATGTTTAAGTTACCCTCTAATCCCCTTATTCACAAACAACATTTTTATTTTATAAAAGGTTTATAAAACAAAATTTCCATACAAAATCTAATTTATAAACTGTTTATAAAATACATATTTTTTTTGTGAATAAGGGGGTAACAATATACACCCACTGAGGAAGAATTATTTGGCCTCGTAATATTCATAACAGAGGAAACCAGAACACTAAAGTTTAACTCACTCGATTTTCAGCACGGGTTCCCGTTATCCAATTGGCTTAAAATCTTAATTTTAGACACTAATAAATAAAGAACCATACAAAAAAATCTATATTTTTGGGCACCTCTAATGTACAAACATACCGTCACCTGAAATGCACGCGCTTTTGCAACAACACTTTTAAAATTTTGCAGGGGACAAAAAACTAAATAAAATTCATATTAATAAAGTCGGTCAAAATAATAATTTGCGAAAACATTTTGATGCAGTGGACCATTTCCTATCAAAAAGTCGAATTTTATTTATTTGGTTGTTACGCTTTTTTTCATTACAGGTGAAGATACATAAGTACATGCATGGCCACTTGACCACGGCTATTTATAAAGAAATCACCACAGAAGTTTTCTCATTAATTTCTCCGATAAAACATTCGAAAACGGCTATTGAAAGCGGCAAGAGTATGTGCTCGTAGAGCTCATCTGTCGCTTAGTTCGTGGCAGCAAATCTTTCAATCTCGAAGTTTCGAAAACGATATTAATAGCGAGTATTTAGCAATATTAATTATGCATTAAAAATACATTTTTTGGTTCCAATCTCAATGCTAATAAAAGTTTATAAAATATTTTTATTAGTTTTGCAATCGTGTTCGTAAATGATACCTTAACGGTATTGAGATACATTCGCCAGATATATTCACCCCTAATCTACATTTCGATTACGAAAAGTATTCCAACAAAAAAACTGAATCGTAAGAAAAAGGATAAACAATTCCATTTCGTTTCAATGCTATACGATTGTGTGTATTCTGCATTACGATCGTATCTACGTTTTTGTAAGTTGTTTATGTGGCGGATAGTCGAATCGAAATGAAGAACACCAGAATACGGAGAAAATGTCGATTCGAAATGAAATGCAGAAAAGGTGTGATTTTTAACAGTTCGATATTGCTAAAAATTCGTTGGTAATGCGTGATAGCAATAATTCGAGAAATTTACATACATGTAAATTGGGGTATAACTTTTATACTATTTCAAATCGGTCCTATGCATTCCACACAAACAAAATTGAATATTTATTCACAAAATCGGAAATTTTTGATATGAACAAGTGTCGTTGTTGGACCCAAAACACAGTACCTTATTCCTCCTCCAAATTTACATGTAAATTTATTTGTGAATGGTTTTAGAAAAATAGAAGCCGTGGTTTTTGCACCAAAATAACCCAAGAAAAAGTTTTTGGTTATTAGAAGACTACTGGCTACCATGGGCCTAATTTTGGTTTGGTTGATTACAAATATCGTTTTCACAAATTTTGGCCAAGCAAAAACTCTGTCATTATTTTAGACATTCATATGTATAAATTATATTGAAAATAATTTGAATTTACCTATTAAATGAATAGTAGATGTATTTATTGCATATGTAAGGGCATCATTTGAATCTTTAACTAAGCTCGATGCCAAATTAAGACCTCGTAAAATTGCGTTTCCCAAACAATGCAAATATATTTCCTTTATTCCGGCGTTCAGTAAATCTTCGCAATGTTTTTGTTGTGCCTAAATAAAAGTTTAATGTTTAATGTGTATTCATAGAATTGCATAAATTAAAAAATTCCATATTAAAGATACCTTAAAGTTAGACTTTGTTGTAATGTAAATATCGTTTTGCCTTTTGTTGACTTTCGGTGGAGTCTTCTTTTTTTGGTTACGGTTGTAGTTGGCCTTTTTCATAGATTGCGACCTTATTTTCTGATTTGCAGAATGTTGTTCCATAATATCTCCACCTTAAACATCCAAACGCATATTTTTAATTAAAATAAAACGTCAAGTTAAAAAACTAAAATATATCACACTAGATATGGTATTTTACAAAATTAATACAGCAGTGGCGACATAAACCCAGCTGGCAATTTTTATTCAAACGTGAAAGTAACAAAAACAATGTTTTTTTGACAGACATGTCTACATTTTACACATTTTTTATCCTAAACGTCAAATTGTTATCGCGATAAAAATGATCAGGTATAGTCACAGTTTATTAGCGTTATAACATCGTTGAAACAAAGTTGACAAAACAATTGTTAAAAACAATTGATAAAAAACTTCATTTAATTGTAGAATTGTAGATGAGATAAAATTTAGTCAATTTAGGGTTTATTTATAAAATTTACATTTAATGTTAATTGTTTTTATAAATAAAAGAACTGTGATTTGTAGTGATGAAAACCGCATTTTGATTCCCCTATGAATTAATATTAACAAAAATATTAATGTTATTTCACCAACGTTTTTTTAAGTGTTGTGAAAAATATTTGTCAAGTTATACTTGGTTTAACAATAAACTCTGCGCATGTGGTTATTGCTGTCACAGGGTATACAGAGGCGTCTCGAGCAAAAAACTAATTCCCTCTCTTTCGCACAAAACCATTTCAATGATTTTTTTACCTGTATTTTATATACCTCTTCTCACAAAACAATTTCAAAATCAAAAAAAGCTGATTTTAGACTTTTTCACATGTCAAAAGTGACACCTCTGTATACTTTGTGATTGCTGTTTCCACTGGCTTGAAATCTACTACATTTACTGAGCTTGCTAAATTTTATTTTGACATTTCGACAAAAAAAGTTAATTTTATATAATATTACACATCAAAAAATAATTACTGCTGTCAATGTATACATTTATTTTTTAAATGCCACTTACTTAAAATTAATATTTTTTCTATTTCAATTCGAAATGAAATGTCTCTTTTATATGAAAACATTCAATTTGAATGGAATTTGTTCGAGTAAAATACATTTCCTACACGTTTTAAATCAAATCTAGTAGATTTGTATATGTCAAAAACGTATTTACCATACGTTTCAATTAGTTAGCCCATATCCTATAGATTTGTTCAAAACGCCTCTGTGCAAAAATGGTATTTATAGGAACTTTTGTCACAATAGGGCACATTCTCAAATATACCTTCCAGAATACACCTACAAAGCTGAACCGAAATATAATATTAAGGCTAGGCATAAACGTTACAATTACTGATAGATGTAGTTTACGAAATTGCAAAGTTTGTAGGGTTATTCTAAAAAAACAGTTTACATAAGTAAAGTAATTTGATCTGTCAAAAGTTTTAATGCAACACATTAAGAGAAAATACGGATGAAAAATTTTACAGTTATATTCCTTAATTCATATCTTGAAATGTTTAAAGGGCCCTTCAGACGATCACACTTTACGTACGACAAGTCTAATGAAAAAGTAAAATGAAATTCCATCCGTATGATAAAAACAGAATAAAAGTCGTATGATTTATATTTTTCATGTTTACGCGATTGGAATAAAACAATAACAAAGTAAGATGGAAACAGCTGTTTTTTATGTGTTTACATAAAAATACATCCCTGATCTAACCAAAAATAAAGAGAGCCATACGACTGTCAAATTTTCCAACCGCATTTTCTCTCGTGTGCTTGTGTGAAGGGGGCTTAAAAAAACCAAGCAAGTTTCATTAGATCAGGGGCGTATTTTTATGTAAAGACATACAAGCAAGAAAGCGCTGTTTCCATTCTTCTCGATGCTGATAATATTGTCATATTTAGCACCGATCCTCATATATCGGTGACGAGGTCAAGAATACAGTATCAGAAATTGGATCGTCTTGATCGTTCTCTAACAGTCGGACTAGTCCTTTGATTTTACCTAAATAACTCTGTGATAATTAAATCCATCACACATGAATAAAAAACAAACAAAACTAGTCAGAGATCTATTTTTTACACCTGCCTTTAGCTAATGTGTATGTATATAGTGATATATGTATTATATTAATTAATTTGTATATACAGTTAACCTCAAAAATAAGTATACAGAAATACTGACAATTGGTTTTATTTAAAAAAAGGATATTATTTTTTCAAAAATCAAAAAGTAACACATTTATTTATCAAAAACAATTATGATAATTATTATTCACTACTTTTTTCCGGGTTATTTTGGTTACCTGAGTTCTCATTTAAGGTGTAGTTAAATAGGTGCAAAATTTACGTCACAAAAGTAAGTACACAGATAATTTCAATATGTATTTGGCTTAATGATATTAACAAAATTCATGAAAATTTTACCTGTTTGAATGTAATTATTTTATAATAAAATATTCTGTGTTTGGAGTTTTGGATCGGGTATTCAATAATATCCATCGTTTGTTCATTATGATGCATTGGAAGACGATATTTCAACTTTTAAATTAGTTGTTTCTTTACAATAATTGCAATCCATTGAGGAACATTGCCGTTTTTAACATAGTATATCGTTCATATTCGATTTTTAACGGCGATTTCCTAAAATGTATATCTTAAAATGCGATATTAATAATATTTGTACTAGTATCCATTAATTAAAACAAGTTTTTTGGTTCCAACCATCCGTTACACACTCCTAAATACTACCAATAATCGTCAAATGGTGACCATGTCAATAACTTACACTACATATCGGTTCTGAAATTGATTATTGTCCAAAATAGTAAAATTTTTATATTACATCAGGCTCAATTGGTGGTATGAATACGAATTGAACAATTTTGAACACGAATACATCTTAATTTGTTGCTAGAACAAATAAAATGTCCGATCCATAAAACATGGTTATTGTATCGAGTATATCAAGATATGATTGGTAGCATTATTGTATGCTTTGGAAATCGGAGTATTTGAAAACCTGTTTAAATTAAAGAAATTATATAGAATTATCCAAATTTTAAAGTTTATGTTGTAAGTCTTAAAAAAATTCGGTTAAAGTTAAATTTCGATTTTTTAAGAACGTACTGTGTTCAAAATGGCCAAATCCATGCATGTAACATTAATTTCGAAATAAAAACTCTTTTCAAAAGTTAAAAATTCTATTTCCAATGCATCATTTGGAGGGTTCAATGACCACCAGATCCAAAATCCGGGGTCTAAAGTGGAAAAAAAATCGTAGAAATGAGAAAAAACTGTTCTACTAATTAATTCCGGAGCCAATCGGCCCAAATTTCAAGATTTGAGAACTAAAAGTAGATTTTTTCCAAGTTATTGTGTAAAAAATATTTTATTAAAAAGTAATTATATTAATACAAGTAAAATTTTCATAAATTTTGTTAATATCATTAAACTATATACTGAAATGATCTGTATACTTACTTTTGTGACGTAAATTTTGCACCTTTTTAACTTCAGCTTAAATGAGAACTCAAAGAACCAAAATATGAAGAAAAAAAGTAGTGAATAATAATTATCATAATTAAATAAATAAATGTGTTACTTTTTTGTTTTTTGAAAAAATAATATACTTATTTTTGTAATTAACTGTATGTAGTTGAAATATTACCAAAACTCGAGTATGTATTTTTTTGTTTACACTATCTACATATACACTATCGGACAAAATAAAGTGCAAAAGTACTCATGATATATTCTTTTAGCGAAAAATCTGTTAAATGATTATTAAATAATGAAAATTTATTTAAATTCATTTAGTTAATATACAATGCTACAAAAATAACAATAAAACAAAATTATTGTACTTAAAATTTCTGTTTCTGTATAAAATTTTAAATTAAAGTTATATATCATTGTTAAAATATGTTGTATAACAAAAATTTTTTATCTATTTTGGTTCTGATTTGAATATTTGGATCTACTTAAGCCATTTTGGCAATTTTACCATTATTATTCCCAGTCGCCTTCTTCTCCACTTGTTTTCCCGCATACGATTATTTTCAAAAGGAATCCAATTTTATTCACTATTTCATCGGAATTTTTTGATCAGTTGTGGTCCAAAATTAATCTATTGGATTAAAAGCGGTGCTCTGAGCAGGACATTCCAATTTTCCGGTGTTTTTTCCTACATTAATGTTATTTTTTAACTTTATCAAGTACTTAAGCTTATTATCTTGCCGTGATATAAAGTTGCTCAAGTCCATTTCTAAGGCACTGATCTTTAGATTTGAGTGTAATATGCTCACGTAGTGTTCACTAGACCTTTCTGAATAGATTTCCCGTAGGTTCCCCACACCTAACGTTAAAAATTTAACACATACGAAGAGTCAACTGACCCATACATTGAATCTTCCACCAACTTTTTTAAAAGAGAGGAAAGTTTCTTACGATTTTAGTATTTAATTTTGTATTTTTTAGCTCAAATTTATGTAGTTGGTCAGATGAGTTCCTATTTGTATCGAAAAATTTAAAATGTCGACAATGAGTGAGAGGCCTGTAGGGTGACCTCAATATTCGCGGCAACATAGGAATCTTTGTCGATAGTCAAGCGGCACTTCTCTTACTAAACTCTTATACTACTACTTCCCTATTAGTTAGACAACGCAAGAAGGATCTATCAATGCTGGGCCGTCTGTATGACATTACCCTTGTTTGGGTCCAGACAGATGAGCTTGCCAGAATGGGATCTGCTCTTGATATCTCCGACGCCGTTTCAGTAGCAACTCCGTTAAGTTTTATCAAGAGCAATATCCTCAGATTCTTTCTTCAAAAAGCAGAAAACAGGTGGAATAACCTAGACACATGCAAAGGGGCCAAGTTATTTGGCCCTCCTTCAATGAGAAACGCACAAGACACCTTTTAAACCGAAGTAGGCGCGACATATTAAGGCTGATAGCAGTAATAACAGGACACTGGGTAGTAGGCAGACACGCATGTCGGCTTGGTCTCCCTCACAATGATCATTGTCGCAGTTGCAAAGACAAGGAAAAGGAAGAAACGGTCTTTCATCTCCTCTGCGAATGCCCTGCTCTGGCCGTAAAGAGAAACCGCTTTCTTGACAATCACTTTATACCTAACCCTGGTGATATATCTGAGTTTAGGTTTAATGATATCCTCAGATTTCTCACAGCTACGGGCTGGATCTAATACTAAAAAAAATACAACATCTGACGAGTGGAGT